CGTGGTAGAGCCCTGCTGCAGTTATATTAGTAGTATAGTTGTAAAACGAATGGTGCTGTGTTTCGTATGGTGAGTGTCGAGAACCGGAGACCCTTTTTACTGGAAACGAGGCATTCCATCTTAGTCCTCACGAGTGACAACGCATCTGCATTTTGATTCGTAATTGAGGATAGATTTAGATGTATATGAGCCACAGTAACCACTTACCATCAGGTGGACTGGGTATTCGTTTGTCACCCTATGCTATAAAAAAAAATTCAAATTATATGATGTAGTAGTTTGTCGCCCTATCCTATAAATAAAAAATTCAAATTATATGATGTAGTAGTTTGTCACCCTATCCTATAAATAAAAAATTCAAATTATATGATGTAGTAGTTTATTACTACATCATATATTTTGAATGTATGTATGAATTTAAACGAATGTGTTTAATAATTATATACAGAAGAACTATCAAAACTACCATGGTATCAGCTTGTTTAGTATCGTGGGTAAACTGTATGCCAAGTTGCCAAGGTGTTAATTGAAAGAGTTATGAAAGAAACTGATGCAAACATTTGGGATGTGCAAGAGGGATTTAGAAAGGGAATGGGGTATACAGATCAAATATTTTCCATACGCATGATTGCGGATAAGTTTTTGGCCAAAAACGTAAAGTTTTTTGAGCGTTCATGAACTTGGAAAAGGCTTATGACAGAGTGAACAGGACTGTGTTATGGCAAACACTGAGCTGATGTGGGTTGAGCGCTCGTTTGATACAGGCCTTAAGGTCTCTTTACAGAGACTCTAGTGCTTGTGTTAGGATTAACGAGGTCTACTCAGACTGGTTTGGCATCCAAAAAGGTGTCAAGACAGGGCAGTGTAGCTTCCCTGTGGCTGTTCAACCTATTTATAGACAGTTGTTTGCAAACTTTGAAAGTTGAAGAATGTGGGTTTAGAATGGACGAGCTAACCGTCAAATGCATTTTGTACGCCGATGATTAAGTCATATTTACGTCGTCGGCGGCCGAGTTGCAAATGATGGTTACATTAATGAACTGGTCATTAAAAGAAAGGGGAATGAAGACAACACAAGTTAGACGAAAGTGATAGTTTTCGAAAGAGAAAAAGTAAAACGTTATGCGAAATAAGAATAGAAGGGGAGTTGATTTAACAAGTGGATGAGTTCGTGTATTTGGGATGTGTATTTAGTAGGGACGGTAGATATGATAAGGATATAGAACGACGAGTGAATGCAGGAAATATCGTGAATGGGGCTCTACACTCTATTATGAAGAATCAGAATGTGTCAAAAGAGGCACGCACGGTAATTTATAACGCTGTGTTAATCCCTACTTTAATGTACGGTAGTGAAAGTTGGGTGTGGCAGAAGAAGCACGAAAGTAGATTAAATGCTGTGGAAATGCAGTCTTTAAGGAGTATGCTAGGGCTGAATCTGGCAGACGGAGTGAGAAATTGGGTGATAAAAGAAAAATGTGGTGTCCAAGATGATGTTGTGACAAGGATTAAGAAAAGAATACTTCAGTGGTTTGGTCACTTAGAAAGAATGAACGAGGGAAGAGTGACAAAGCAAGTTTGTATTTCAGATGTGAACGGCAGAGTCGGGAAGAGACGCCCAAGGAGAAGGTTCATCGACCAAATTGGCGATATTTTGAAAATGGGCTACATTAGGAGTACCCTAAACTGATGAGCGTGTATGCGTAGATATATGGATGTAAAGGAGAGAGGAGAGGTATGTCAGCATCGTGCCAAATGGAAGTCCGTAGTCTCTGTCTACCCCTCTGGGTGACAGGCGTGAGTGCTTATACATAGATATAGATAAACAGTAATTTATTAATAAAGTTGTCAATTAAATACACAATTGTTAATGAATTTTATTCTATCTAAACATCAGTCGCTCAAAGCTGCTCGAAAACTTACACGCACACACACAAGGATCAAGATAAATTTTCAATGCTTCAGCAAATATAAGTCCAACGCGTCACTTTCGATAGCTATCCACTTTAGACGACGCAGTTCTTTTAAGAATTCGCGGAGGAAATTGTAGCAAATGTGAAACTTCAAGGGAACTGTTTGCGGCAAATAGTTCGAATAAAAACGCGAACTTTTATTTAAAATAGCGGGATCTTCGCATTAGGTAAGCGCTAATGCATGTGTGTATGTATGAATGTGAATGAGACTCTCTTGTGTATTTGTGGTGTTTACGTTACCGTTATAGCTTATCAAAGTCCACAGCTGAACATATGCCTCCCCCATAGTTTGCGTTATAGGGGGGATATCTGCCATAGTTGCCACGGTTAGCAAGCGGGTTGGCAACGGCAGTTTTCTATTTTTAATCGTTATTGGGAAAACTCTGATATGGGTTAGTGGATATTCTTACACCGCCACTACACGGTGTTTGTGGAGTATAAAGTCGAAAAGTTTAAGTTACAGCCTATATACGACCCACTGCTGGGCACAGGCCTCCGCTCATTTCTGAGAGGACTTTATGGCAAGCAATTGTCCGCCGCGCTTCCCCAATGCGTATTGGCGTACTTCACATGTCTTCGGAAAATTTTTTTCTTATTTCTCAGACATGCAGATCATCATCCTCACGATATTTTCTTTCACCGCCGAGCATGTGGTAAAGCAGCACTCAAAATTGTAATTAACAATTTCATTGGTGCCGGCGGGGATCGAACCCGGTTTCCTCGCGTACTGTGAAATATACAGCGAGCGCTAACCATCTGAGCTACTACGGCTCAGAAGAATCTGTCTACCTATTTCTAAAAATAATTCTTCCCCCTTAAAGCAGATTGCTGTGTTCCGGTGCTGTGTTCTAAAGGGTAGAAGAGAGCGGGTATACTACAGGCTGTGAGGTATTCCATATTTATTCTCAGAGATGACAATGCATCTGGTTGGTTACAGGTGTCCATGGGCTCCGGTAGCCGCTTACTATTTGGTGGACTGTCAGCTCGTTGTTAAAAATACAGAATAAACACAAACAACTTAAATATGGGACTCAAACGAACTATTAAACACAATACTAACCTTTTTTTCAGCATTATTTCTCCTCTAGACCTGAAACAAAAAATTATGATTTTACGTATTTCTATTACTTCAAAAAAAAAGTAAAATATGTAAATAAAATAGCTTATAGTAGCTGAACTAAGTAAGTGGCGCAAATAAGAGTCTCTGAGAGATTACTAAATATATGTGTCATTTGCTGTAGAGATTATCGGTCCGTGGGGTCACATGCAGCGAAGTTCCTAAAGGAACTGTAACTGCGAATGGTTATCACTGCTGGTGACAAGAGGGCTGGTTCTTTTCTCGCTCAAAGGCTAACTACAGCCGTTCAGCGAGGAAACACAGTCAGCGTTCTCGACACGATATCACGGAGAGAAAGACTGTATAATAATATATTTTTAGTTTTTTTAATTATAGTTTTTTAATATTCTATATTTTTCATTTTCATGTAACCAAAATGAAGTCTTAGAATGGCTTACACATTTGCACAGAAGTCTAGGACAAATGACGTCTTTACAAACAGACTCAAAAACTTCAGAGGGAAATAACATGAGGCATTTACGTCGCCTTGACACAATTTCGAATGCAGCATTGACATTCCCTTGATGCGGAGATGGCTCTTTAAATTTAGATGCAAATTCGCCAAGTCGGGTTCTGTGCGAGTTGAAACTGAATAAGCCGCATAGTAAGTAGGTAGTAAAAAGGAGAATGCAGCGCTTTGTGCTTCAAGATACCGTGACAAGAGCCCGAGTGCGACACTTTTCGTGTGGAAATTCACTTTTCGTAGCAAACTCTCGAAGTCTTCAAAAAGGAAACACTTAGCGTACGGAGCACGTGTCAAAGGCGGTGTTTATTATGAATAATATACAAAGTTACTTGATAGTGTTGATGTGAAGGAATACTTTATTCTCTTTAGCAATTTCGATTTTCGACCCTAGGGATCTTTCAATCGCTCTTTCAAATAAACACTGATATTTATTGAAATCGGGGTCAATGGAAAAGGGACGTACAGTGATAAATTTTTACTTTTTTTTAAATAAAACTGAAGTGTTAAGAGGGCATATGCGTGGTGAAAAATGTTTTTCCAAAGGCGATATCGTAACGATGTGAGGAGATTATTTGCTGAAAATTAGGGCTTTAGAAAGATGAAGTCTTTATTTAGTACATAGCAATGCAAAATCATAGTTTTTAATGACGGTTTTTTAGGGCGAAGACAATCCCTTCACAGCGTTTTACGAAAATATGCATCAGAGTCATCTTTCAGGTTGAATACAACCATTATTATAAGCTAAAATACTTTATTTTAAGCGTTATTATAATGGAATATATAGTCTTTTAGTGTATAGCAAAACCTAAATTACGAAAATATTTCGATTTAATATTATAAAATCACCAAAACTGTCTACTTCAATGTAATTTTTTCCATGTATTTGGTTATAAACATTTCTATTTTAATTATTTTATCCAAATACATGTAATGTTAAATATCCAAAAAAAATTTTAGCTCGTTTTATTTTATCAATTATTTTATTTCATTATTTTAAAAATACTATAAATCACCATCAGCCAGGGCTGCCAGATGTACGATTTTAATCGTACTCCTACGATTTTTTGGCATTTTTACTCATGTACTATCGCTAGACCAAGATCGTACGGAAAATGTACGATTTTTATATACCTGGCAAATCTGGCAACATTTCATAATGAATTGAACGTGCTCAACTGGCAAGTATGAGTTTCGGGGAATTCCCCAACAACCTAACGCGTATCTTTTACTTTAATAAAGACTCTTTGTAGAGTTATTTAAAGGCTGTATTTGTTTGCATTTTTTCGAAACTTATTATTTTTTTCTTTCGGTAATAATTGCGATTTCTTAAAAACTCTTTTTTCTTGTTAGTCTCGCTCGAACTGTACGTAGTTTATATATGCTCTTTGAATCTGTATACTGTCTTCAGTGCTTTTTTGTGTTTGTGGTTTTTGGTCAAGCAAGAATGTGTGACAAAAGTGAAGACGAGCGACTTGCGCCAGGTACTCCAAAAAAGAAATTGGCTAAAAGAGGAGAGCTTTCTGTAGCAGAGAGGGATAAACACAGAGCACAGAAGTATCGTCTTGATTGGGAAAAACTAGACTTTTTTAAGGACTGGTTAGGGCCTGGTAAAAACCAATTTAAAGCCAGGTGCACTGTTTGTGACGTCGAAATGGTTTCAGAATATGGAGTTTTAAAATTACATTCTTCAAGGCAAAAGCATACGAAAGCCATGTCTGCAATACCAAGCGAAACAAAACAGCGTAATATCATGTCCGCATTTGTTACGAAAGGAGTTATGTCGAAAAATAAAGTTGTCACAGCGACTGAAATCAAGATGGCGGGTTTTCTAGCTGAGCATAATATTGCATTCCAAACTGCAGATCATATGTCAGATTTAATAAATGGTATATTGGAAGATTTTGTAGTGGAACATAAAATTGCTATGAAAAGAACAAAAGCTACAGCTGTAATTACCGAAGTAATTGGTGAAAGTGAAAAATCGTCTCTTGTCGAAAAACTGAAAACTGAGAAATTCAGTGTTATGTCTCACGAGTCAACAGATGTCAGCACTCACAAGGCCAGTTGTATAATTGTTAGATATTATGACGTTGAGGAAAATAAAATTGTTAGTAAGTTTTGGGATCTTTGCAAAATATTTAGCTCTGATGATGAAAAAACAGCAGAAGAAGGTGCTACTGGGGAAAATTTGTTTAACATACTGATGAAGTCTTTTTCTGACCGGGATATATCGACAAAAAATATGATTGGTTTTGGTGCAGACGGTTGCAACGTGATGATAGGTGGGAATAACTCTGTGGCGAGCAGACTCAAGAAAAATTTGCCAGGTATGTTTGCAATGAAATGTGTTTGCCACTCTGCACACCTTTGCGCATCTGAATCGTGCAAACAATTAACAAGGCGCTGCGAAGATTTAGCGAGAGAGATATATAGTTTTTTCAAAAATAGTTCAAAAAGACAATTTCGCCTTCAACAGTTTCAAGAATTTGTGAGTGCTTCGCCTCACAAGATTTTGCATCCTTCACAAACCCGTTGGTTGTCATTGGTGGTGGTTGTAGATCGATTAATAGAACAATGGGATGCATTAAAATTGTTCTTTACTGACTGCTGGTTGAATGCACGTTTTGTTTCAACAGAACTGATATTTAATAGCTTAAAATCCATTCATGCAGCTTTATTACCTGTTCCTGTCTTGGATATTGCCCAAATTTACCAATTTCAATAAACTTTTTCAATCGGAAAAAGTAGTGATTAAATGTTTAAACGAAAGGTGCGCGAAATGTACAAAGATATTTTGCTATGTAATTTGGATCGTGATTATGTCAACAAAACTGAGCTTTCTACCATTGATATTGAACGACAAGAAAAATGGTTAAAAGATGATCAAATTTATTTGGGAATCCGAGTGATGAACAAAATTACACAGCCTGAATTTCGTCGTCAGATTCCTGCCACTAAGGAGTTTTTTCATCGCTGTCGGCATTTTCTAGTCACAAGCGCTAAAGAAATTAAAAAAAGATATGACCTAGATGATCCCATTCTATCAAAAATAGACTGTATTGAACCTACCAATGCTGTTGCTAGTAATTACAGGAATAAAGTACCTACCTTACAGCTGATTATGATACTTGTTCCAAGAATCGTAAAACCCAACGACATTCAAATGATGCAGGCAATAGATGACGAATGGCGCAGTTTTCCCAACATTTCAGATAAAATTGATTTATCTATGAATACCGACGAGTTTTGGGGCATCATCAAAAAACAATTTGAGAATTATAAAACACTGGCTCAATTTGCCTTAAATTTGTTATGTTTGCCCCATTCTAGTGCAGATTGTGAAAGAGCATTCAGCGAAGTAAACTTAATAAAAACAAAACTTAGAAACAGTTTATCGAATGAAACACTAAAGGGAACATTATTAGCCAAACAATTAATAAGAAGAAACGAAAATTGTACGAAGTTTAAGCCAACAAAAGAAAAGTTAAACAATATGACCACAGAAAATTTGTATAATTCTAATAAATAGTTTTTTTTTTAATTGTGTAGTTTTAAGTTTTTATTTCAATCTTTTTTTTTGTTTTGTTGTGTAGATATATATAAGGTATCTACCAAATAAATATGTTTTCTTTCTTTATTTCTTTTATTGCATTTCTTTTCTAAAACTAAACGATTATTTGTTATTTTTAATAAAAACTTTGTACTTAAAAGTTGTACAATATTTTCATTTCTTTTCCTTGACATACGATTTTTTTTAGTTGTACGATCACACCATTTTTGCACCTGGCAGCCCTGCATCATGCGCAGACGACACCCGCCGTTCGATTCAGTACGCTCCGGGCTCGGGGTAATCCCAACGATAGGACGTATTACTTTTTCTCACCGACACCGCGCGATCGCGTTGATACACCGATAGGGCTATATATATATATATATATATATACAACACTATAACATAACTAGATACCTATAGCACTATCGAGCATTTTAAATGATTGAGACTTTTATAAGCGATATTTTTTATAGTAAGTAATTTTGAAATATGTTTATGATAGTAATATTTAAATATTAAGTGATGTAATGGTGGCAAATTTTCATTTCATACATATTTTTTTAGAAATGAGTAATGAACGTAAGCAATTCAGATCAAGTAAAAATACAAAATCGTACCTTTGGCTCCGTGGCGGAGTGACTTGGTAATGAGTTGTAGCGCTAAGCGCAGCGGGTTCAAATCCCACATGGAACAAAAATTTGTATTACCTACAAATAATTGTTCCAGGTCTGGATGTTTGTCCTTGTGAAATTAATGTATTTAAACTGTACGATGTACTTAGGAAAAATTCCTAGTGTGGTGATAACGTTATGATTAAACAAAGACATGCCATCAAAAACATAACTTGTAAAATAACCAAGTCTCGCAATGATGATACGGCCGTGCCGCTGTTTTGTTCGACTTGGCGGAGGCACTACCGTGCCCCCAGATATGAAACATATGAGCCGTGCTTGAGTTGACTAGCTCAAGGGTGTAGTTCGATCCCCGCTAGTGTTGCCAGGTGTCCCGATTTGCGCGGGACGTCCCGATTTTCAAGGGTCTAGTGACACGTCCCGATTCACCCTTGATCGGGACGCCAAATGTCCCGATTTTCACTAACCTTCTTATTCTATATTTTAATACATAATTTTGACAGCAAAAATGATTACATCTGTTAGCTACTACCACATTAAAATATTTTTACTACGACATTGTCTCACCAGTCGAAAAAAAAACACAAAAGTTTTAAACAGAATTATATTAAAATGAGTGATTTGAAAAATTCAGGGACTGCAAAAAAAAAAACAAATAGTTCAAAAATGTTTTAATTTGCCTAAAATTAAAAAAAAAACAGTTTTTACGATGTTTGGACGAAAATTTATTCGTTCATGAGATCAGACCTGAATAATAATTATAAAGCACAAAAGTAAAGTAAAGTTACAGTCACAATTTCTCGCATTACTCGCATACTGCGATATTTACAGTGAGCGTTGACCATCTGAGCTACCACGGCTATCAATAAAGCACAAAAAGGTTACAAAGAAATTATATTTATACTATATTTTGTAGTCATTGTAGATGTCCGGATATGAATACCAAATCCCCGATTATTTTTACCTTTCGTCCCGAAATTTTACTTGCTAGACCTGGCAACACTAATTTAATGAATTATGTTTACATTATGAAACAGAATAAAAGTTTATCAAATGATATATATTTTACACAATACATATTTTTCAATTAGAACATATATTATAATATACTCAATAGGGTGAAAATGTAAAGCCGACTTCAATGTACTAAAAGAATAAAACAATTTCCACATATTAGCCTCCGATTTCTATACACTATATAAGCCATTATATGGAAATTATTTTTTTATTATTTCAGTTCCAATAGTATCAAGACAGGTATATAATCAAAGATCAAAGTGATTCGTGCAACTAAAGGCAACTATTATATAGCCTCACGCTCGTCCTGACACGCACACAGATATAACATTGTAGTGTGCGTCAATATTACGCCGTTCCAAAGCGATCGCGTAGATTTCGACTTGGACATATTTGAATATGCGCTCTTAATTGAATTTGCAGTCAACCTGATGGTATTAAAGTTGGTAATAATTACTTCGCCCACATTCGCTCAGTAAAATAAATGATGCGTCTTACCTAGTTTGAAGAGCACTTCCCGCCCTCCCTCAATTGCGAGCACTAATTCAATTTTGGCTCGCCGCATCACCTGAAGATGCCTCGTGTAGAGGCGAAACACGTATCTTATTATCGTCGATGGTGTGTCTTTCCTAGTGTAGTGGTGTTGGGAGTAGGATTAGTGCACGCAATTGAGGGACGGCGGGAGGTGCTTTTCATTCAACTAATTCTTGTCAACTGTAATATAATGGATTTCCGCAAAGTATCGCCTGATTCTATTAATAAACTGATGGTACTTAAGTGGCTACTGGGTGAAGGCATGCGTTAGCTTTAAAGGCTAAGGCGGAATATCTCACAACCTGTAATTATACTGGCTTTCTTTATATTCAGACCTTAACACTGCAGTGCAGGTGCTGATATATGGCGGCAGAAATATAAGGATGGTGCCTACCCAGATGGACGCCTAGACCGATTCTTTAAATAAAAATCAGATTGGTTTTAACAGTTACCTGTATTTTGTGGTCAACACCAACAAAATCCGATGGCAATGGCCCCACTAACTTGAAGAACTGACAAATTATGTCAAAGAAAGGTCATGATCATGAGAAGACTACAGTTTGTGATTATATCCTAGACGGCCCCTAACATTACATCAAATTTGCAAGACCACAAATCCTCGCGAAAGAACATAGATTTCTACCAAGGACTACTTGAGGCTATTGAAATTTTAAAAAAACATCCAAATTTCAACTGTGAAGGAGGGTGGGTACTACCACTTGCTTGGAACCCTGTAATTAATAAAATTAAAACTAAACCCAAGCATACAACTGCAAGACCGGACTGGAAGATCGGGCCATAAATAATTATTAATAAAAGTTGAATGTACTCCGGATTAACACTGACATTGGGACATCAGTCACCTCAGTCCCACGTGATCGTGGATGCTGGAAAGCACCCGAAATGGCGGGAATCAAAAATCAAATAATTAATTTATTTGATTTTTACGCGATAAAATCCGTAAAAGTAGTTTTAAAGAACGGAAGAAAGGTTTCGAAGTGGCAGCTTTGTACCGGTTATTACACACCGTAGCCGACAAGACATGCAGGCGGTAATTGATTGAGGCCAATGGCTCAGGACTGCGTTTCGCGGTTTCGTTGGGGGATGGTACTTCCAGGATAAGAAATCGTAATGACAATGACTTAATAAACAGGATTTAACTGTACGAAATTTAATAAAAAAGTTTTTTATTTTATTTTTTATTGAATTTTAATAGACATAAGTAACAAAATATACATAGTGTTTTGGGGCTACAATACACAAGAGATAGGAATTTCAATGGAATATCTGGACTGCAACACACAGGAGAAAAGAAAGCTTTTTGAAATATGAAGCTATTTGTCAACTTCGTAGTTCTTTTTTATACAAGTAAAGTTGACGAAATGACCAACAAGATAAATAAATCGTAATCATTTTCTGCATGGGCCTCTCCCACGGTATGTATTGACTGACGATCGCATTACTGAACGTTGTCGGTCTGAATACACGCCATCTACACTCGCGGCGCGAAAGCCCGTGAAAGCCGTGAAACGGGAGCGTGCGTGTAGATAGATGGTTTTGCGGTTTCGCGCCGTTCCCCGATCGGTGTCGATTTTTTGTCCCGCGACAACGGGTATGGTTCACGGCGCGCGAACGCGAATGCATCGATTTCACAATCTTTGTTATTTTTACGAAAATTATTTTTCGCAATATTTTTCGTCATCCACCATCTTTTTCCCCATGTCTTTTTTATTTCTCTATTATTTTTAATACATAGATAATTATAGTACACTACTACACACTACTATACTACACACATAGCGTCACAGTAGGAGCAACAGCCATATCGTCGTCCATTGTCTTTGAGACCACGAACGATACTTCTCGTATATATACTCTCATCTCTGAACGAAACTTTACGAGTGTGGAGTGACAAGTTGAGCGACGGCCTGAATTGCACGCGATTGTAGAGGGCGCATAACGGCAGCTCTGCATTAGTGCCGAATTCAC